GCATAGTTGTACGCGGTGAACGAAATGTTGACCCAACACGATGGTCAATAAGTACGGGATTTTGTGAATTAGCATTGTATTTAAGACTTTTTAGTGTTTCTGGGAGTTTTGGACGAGATCCAGGTTTATCACTGTCATATTTAGTTGTTATTCCTGGAGCCAGTTCTCCGACAGGACGAATATTAACCTAAACGTAGAGAAATAAAAATATGCATATAAACTTTAGCTTACATACAGGTATATAAACGAAAGAAAGAGAACTTTATAGGGAATAAATTCTAACAAATAATTCCCGGAAGTATGTTATGTGCTAATTTGTAGATGTTCATAAATCAATGAGTCACACTACATTGTCTATTCACTTTCTAACTTTATATACAGTTATATATGATGGATCAAGAGATGCTGTTTCGTAACTCTATTGGTAATTCTCATCTTTTTTCCTTCACGTTCCTCAGTGAAACATAGGGCTTCAAGCTAGTGGATTGAAGTTTCTGTAGCAGTGTTTATTTTACAGGATGGGGTTGCTAGCCTCATGCCCAACCTTTCCTCTTTACCAGCATTATTTCTGGCTTAGTGAGGTAAAGGAGTGCGTCGGCCGGGGATCGAACTCCGGACCATGTGCATGGTCGACGAGCGTCCTAACCGCTATGCCACCGACGCACAAAAGCCAGCTCCTCGACCGGGAGTCGAACCCGGGCCTTCCATGTGACAGGCGGAGATACTCACTACTATACTATCGAGGAGCACTAAATATTATCAGGGCGAGGCGCATGCAAATTACACACAGCCTTCTTCAAATCTTGCACACAACCATTAGGTCGCGTACTATCCCATCGCCCTTGGCAGATCTGGCAACAAAAGTCACGAGAACACCATCAGAGCATATGACAGGTTAGGTACCCCAATTCTCATATATGTCAAAATAATTAATTGTAAGTTTATTAATGTGTGTCTTAGTTCACTCAAGGATTATAAAAACTAAATGCGTAGAGTTTTTGACATATACATACTGTCTGTCAGACTGAAGGTCTGAATTTTGGCTATCCTAATAATACAAGATAACTACCACAATCTTGGTTCTTGTTCGATTCTGGATATAAGTTCAAGTTAGTACTAATTCTGGAAAAATTACTTCTTAATTCGACTGGAAAAATAGCACATATTATATCTACTATTAACTATGCTTCAGATTGTGTTCTACGTGAAGAAATTTTGGTGGATGGTGACTAGCAGTGGAATCCAAGATGTGTGTTTCGTCATATTTGGGACTCTTCAACAGGATACACCTACACTTCCAGAGTGTGATAGTGTTTCCACTGAGACCCAAGCCCAGCAACTATCGTTTTTCATGTATTATACGTGGTTTAATCGACATCTTGGAAGTGGAAGAGAATACTAAGGTGTAGGACGAATTACCGTTGCTCCAACAAGTGAAGTAGGCCACACAGTCAACAACTGAACTTCATCTATACACGCTTGTTTGAAATTACAGTATCATCCCTTTCTCTTTATTCTACTGATGAAATATAGTGTTCAACAGCTAATTATCATTTCAACACATAAAAATTATCTTGCTATCATTACTACTTTCAACATTAAAAATTTAGGTCTAATGAAAAACGCTTTATATGCTATCAAAAAACATTTGTATATAATTTATAACGGTAACCCATAAAATCGATATCTAACTGAAGGCGTAGTTCAAATTAGGGTTATTGAATGCCAAGCTTTCAATAACACAATAGTCTTATAGGGATACTTCCCTCTTTGAATATAAGAAGTGAAATAACACATATTGGATAGATTTTCGAGTGTCAGTTTGCAGGAATTTGATTGATTCCAAGTTAGATCATGGATTTTTATCAGTTAGAGAACCAATAAAAACCACGGAGTACCGGGGTGCCGCCGACAATTATACATCTCATCCAACAGCTGTATGACAACGCTGCATGCCAAGTAATCCACAACGGGAGGCTCACGGAATCCTTCGAAGTGAGGACGGGAGTGAGACAAGGCTGTCTACTGTCACCAATGATCTTCCTGATTGCAGTTGATTGGATAATGCGGCAGACAACGGTAACCAACGAGGGAACAGGCATAAAATGGACCGACACAAAAGCCTTGGAGGATTTGGATTTCGCCGATGATATATGTCTGATTTCCCACAAACTGGAAGATATGCAAGTGAAAAGCAACAAATTGGCAGAAGAAGCAGCAAAGATAGGACTTCAAGTGAACATAGACAAAACAGAGGTAATGAAGCTTCCTGGCCAACATCAACAGCAACAACCGACAACAATCAGCATAAATGGGAGGAACCTGAAGGAAACAACTTCTTTCACCTACCTGGGAAGCATCGTCTCAACTACAGGAGGAACTGACGAGGATATCAAAGCCAGAATCGGAAAAGCAAGACAAGTTTTCATTTCTCTCAAGTCTATGTGGAGGTCAACAGCATACAGCGTCAAAAATAAGATCCGTATTTTCAACTCCAATGTGAAGTCAGTACTACTATACGGATCAGAGACTTGGCGTGTCACAAAGAGCAGCTCAAACAAGCTACAGACCTTCATTAACAAATGCCTTCGCTCAATACTCAAGATCAAATGGCCGGAGAGGATCAGCAACAAAAATCTCTGGGAGCGAACCAACCAGGAACCGATCGTGAAACAAATAGGCAGGAAGAAATGGAGATGGATTGGACACACTCTGAGGAAACCAGCAAGTGACATCACTAGACAAGCCATTGCTCGAGTGGAACCCGAAAGGGAAGCGACGAGTTGGTCGTCCAAGGGTGACCTGGAGGAGATCATGTGAAGAGGAATTGAAAGCGTGTGGGCAGACTTGGAGCCAGGTGAAAACTACAGCAGAGAACCGAACGCAATGGAGACGCATGGCTGAAGCCCTATGTTCCTCTAGGAATTAAAGGAAATAATAATAATAATAATACCGGACAGCTGTTTCGTTCTAGTTTGGGACTCTTTAGTAGTGCACACTCGTGACGTACCGGGACAACTGACTGGCAATATCAACTAATATGAATTCACATAGAACCTTGTGTCGTAAACTAGAGAAGATATAATGACTACTACCAACGAGAGAAACAGCAGTATGGCGTTTAGATTATTACTATTATCATTTTAATCCCTATTTTTACTGCATAAGTTCATCTTGTTATTGATTACATTTTGACCTGTGACTGGTAATAGTTCTGGAGCTTTTTCAACCCCTTGTTAAATATTCAATAATGAATAGTTTAGCTGATGACTTCGTCAAAAGGAATTTTCTCATTGCAACTGTCTTTTGTTTTTCTATGATCCCACTGGTATTTTCCTCCATTTATGAAATTTAAGACCGCTACGCAGGTACTTAGAAACAAAACAATCATTAGTTAGTGTAACAACTGCAATGATCCAAAAGCCTCTTTGTGATTCTGTCAAAAAAACTGACGAAATACAACAAATAACTCGAAAATATACAAAAATGCAAAAAGACGCCAGAGTTGACAACGCTTTCAGCAGAAAAAATAAATTAACATAAATGAAATTAATAAAGCAATAAGAAGACGTAATTTGTCTGAATCGTGTAATGTATTTGCGCAACACATTTCGAACAATCTGATCACACTCCACGGACTTGTCATAGGAATATATATGAAATTAAGAAAGACGTAAGAGGTGAGAAAATAGACTACTTAGGTCAAGTTAAAAGGACATATTCAAGGTCAAAGTAACAATGAAGACCACTAAACCAAATAGCAGAAGTAATAGTACATCTATTCCGGCTGCTATCAAAACAAAATTTACCAAAGAAGGTTTAATGTGATGACGAATTGTTTTTGAACGCATAAAGGTGGCTTAAACTTTCTAATTGCTAGGGCTTCCACAAACTTTAGGATACGCCCCAAAAACGTTTTATAGATAGGTTCAAAAGATCTGTTAACATCAATTTTATGTCCTGTCTCTATAATATGTTTCGCAATAGAGGAGCTAGGTCTCCTGTTCTCACCGTTAATAGGTTCTGAAGATTCCATTTTTATCTGGAGCCATTTAAGAATATGCTCTGAAGCCCTTACTTGCAGAGATCGATGGGTCCTCCCTCGACAAGTACATTCAAATTGGTAAATACAGTGGAATGTGACATCATTTTTCGCATGTTCGAAGGGTTTAGATGGATATATGGGCTTTACATTCTCAATTATTATGATATTAGCTGCATAAAAAGTCATTTTAACAGCAGCGTTCAGTCTTTGTCTAGTTATCAAGCTGTTATGATGCCTTATATAGGGTAGCTTGATGTACACGTCATAAAGGGAACTAATTGTTTTAAATAAATGAAATAGTTGCATCATAGATATAGGAACAGAACTTCTGCACTGTGGTAGAGTATAGTTCCATTGTTGCATATTAATCGTGAGTTCATGTCATTACCGAGAGTCACACGTTACTATCAGGAAAAATGAGTGAACTTTAAATGTACACAATTAGGAGACGCTCAGTTCAAAACAATTCTTTTTCTTACTCTACTTATAAAAAAAGACTTTCGAAATTTGTGATGAATACTGAGCAGAAGGATAGATGTTATAGAAGGAAATTCATATTGATGGAAAAGGATGCTTTCGGCAAATTTGAAGCAGTAAAACCTTGGAAATAAAGCAGCACAGTACATTTGCTTGATCAACATCTCCGAGAAATCCTCACCAAAACTTATTTTTATTTGAATGAGGAATCTTGTAATGACGACTATATAATATCTGATACACTGAATTCTGTTTAAGATATAATCAATTTTTAAATTCAACTTATGCTCTAATATATACACAAGCTTATGCTTCAGAAACACATGATTAGCCCTGAAAGCTATAAATCACTATAACCCAAAGTTTTCACTTACGAAGCTACTTTGTAACCACGATTGATGCACGATTTTAAACCAGTATCTTTGATCAAATACAACCACAAGATGGAGAGATGTGGCTCATTGGCTCAATCAATGGGTTCAGGGATTTGAATCCCCGTTCACCTACTTTAACCTAGGCAATAAAGTAGCATGATTAGCTCTCGCAAAGACATTGGGAAGTCTTTCTCAGACAATTGAGTTCTAAATATCTAAGAAGGCTTTTCAAGAGACGCATTTAGGTGAAAACTTAAGAAAATTCTATTCATTCAGGAAAAAAATGGGCAACAATTCACGAGCACTACTTGTATTGTTATAATTTACAAATTTATATAAACTTGTGAAGAAAACGGCTTCATATTTAGTTTTAAAATATGATATATAACCAGAAACAGTCATGCAACCCAAAATGCACATGCTTTTCTGCGCTAGACCTATTCCTACAGTGAGAGAAGTGAAAATACCAGTTGGCCACTGAAAATCTCCCCAGGGTTACGAGGAATTACCAACAGAACAAGACAAAGGACCACACACTTTGGCTACATGCGATTCTCTAGTATGAATTCGCTCATAATAATTAGGCATATTAGGAATGATCAGTCTTCTTTAGTATTTTGAAATATACAAAGCAGTAAAATATACATGAACTTACTTTCAAACCATGAAATGTTTTATTTGCTTCATTCTCTGACTCATCTTCAGAGGCTGAATCATCAGCTTCAGAATGATCCAGATTGGCACCATTTTCACCCCATGGATCTGATGGTCTGATATTATATCCATCTTCATCCTTTGGTAATTCTACAGGCGTTGCTGTCCGCCAATCATCGCTTTTGGAAGTTATTGTATCTAACTCATCAATGGTAATGTGATTTAGAATAAAGTAAACAGAAAATCATTAAGATAAACGTTAACGAAACACGTTATATGTCAATGAAATAATTTTTATTTTAATCTAACACGCTAAGTAACAAGATTTCTTATTATGTATAGCGATGGACAATTTTTATTTCTTTTTTTTATTACAGATTGATTCCACACAGTATTTTGGTGGAAGTATGGAATTTTCAGCAGGCCGACCACTGATATTAGGTGTGGGTCGGCCGGTGATCGAACTCTGGACCATAGGCATGGTTGACGAGCATCCTAACACCTGTGCCACAGACGCATATTTCCTATTCAAATTGCACATTTTCTGGTAGCTTTAATGCTTTAGAAGTTTGAGTATTAAGAGATAAAGAGTTTAGATATCGGTTCATTTGGACACTTTAGTATGCTTACTAGATCCCTCCTAAAGGTTACTTTTACTCGAGTTATACGTCAGACAAAATACAGTGACAGGATAACTAACAGCTTCACATACAATACAAACATGAACGCTATCTAATGTGATTCAAATTTACAAGCTGTATGTTCGGAATTCGAATATTTCCCAATAAACACCATAGCAATTCCGAATTACCTGCTGAACCAATTATGGGTAAGTGTTTAATAGATTCTAACGAAATGGTGTTATGCTGTACTTCTTAACTAGCACACGGAAAACCAACGACAGCAACTAAAAAGTCAATTCTAGCACATACGGTCATCTATAAATATCATTTTATCTAGGATCTTAGGAAGGGATATCTAAATTAAATATAATCTCATATAGAGTAAATTTAGAAAATTAAAAAAGATTGGGGCTTTTCTTGAGTATAAATGCAGACTATTAGTGTTTACGTATTAAATCTACCTGATTTATTCACTTGCTTTGTTTGCTTATCCTTGCCATTTGAGTAGGGAGTACCGAACCGACGAATTCCGCGTTTTGCAACAACAGTAAAAGCACTAAGACTACTACCACTGGTATTAATCCCTGTAGTAGCACTAACTGAGGTAGATGATCCTGTTGGATTACTTTCGTTGGCAGTATGAGCAGAATCTTGAGATAAGGAATTACGGCGTCGACGAAAAAATCCTTCCCTACGTTTTGTTGTTCCATTACCAGAGATAGAAATATTCGTTACTGACGGTGCAACTCCAACAGAAATGCTAGCGACAGAAACCGCATCGGCTCTTACATCTGTTAAACTGTTGAGACTTAATTCTCCATTATCTTTACTGCCAGAACCGACAACTGTAAAAAGCGGGGAAATAAAACAACAATATAACTACACGAAATACTTCTGGAAATACAATGAACCTGAAATAGAAATGGGGTATTTAACTGGTCAGATATAGTGACTGTCGTCTAACGTATTACATTGTATCCTTCCTTTATAACTTGCCAGGTAAAATCACGGAAAGAGGAATATAATCCCCTAGGACACTTTGATTTTCTTTTTAAATTAATGTAGTTGGAAGGTGGTCGATAATACAGCTATTCAAGAAAGCATAACTTTATTTATTAAGTTGAAACACACTCGCAACAAGTATAACAGATACTATTCATCTGAATTGATATTTTCAGCGCATAACCTAAGGAAGGAAATCAATGTCATTTGAGTGTAAATATCATCCATGTATAAATGCTGTACAGTGATGTTAAATAACGAAATGGCAGTACATCAGAGACAAGTTGTGAGAATCAGAGATAAGAATTGAAAACAAGCTTTACAATATAGTGAAATCTTCAACTCGAGTCTAATTGAATCACAAAGTATAGTCATACCAACAAACTCATGCAATCAAACTTGCATTTCATTCCCCCATCCACATAAATTTCAAAAAGGACGGAAACCCTAAAATTTCACCCAACCACCGGTTTAACTACATCTATGAAACAGATATTATATCACGAAGGGATTACGTATCCCACTTAACATACTACTTAAATATTCATCAAATAATATTACTGTAGGAAAATGTGATTCAAAAAAATAGGTGGGACATGAGTTCTTAAGTTTAATCCTTCTTTGAATCCTAGACATTACCAGTTTATACCTATTTATTGTCACCACTGCCTGTCAATCTGTTTTGCCTTCAAAAGCGCTAACTAGTACACTAAGTGTAAGTAAGGGCTATGCACACAACGAGGGTGAAGACTTCAAAAATCGCTGAAGGAAGCATGTATATGAATAAAAAGAATGTCTCAGAAGTTACACTTTAAAATATAGACGTGTATGTAACTACGTTCAATTGGAGAAGATACCTTCATTGTGAATATGTCTTCTATAATAGATTTCTCAGCGAAAAAATACTTCAACGTTATTGATTTCTGTATCACTCAGCAATTACTCGTTCATAAATTTTGAAGAGTGCGCAATGAAAGTGTGTCATACAAAGAGTTGCCTTTTAATTTTTTTTCTGTTTTGGATTCAAACCATAAAACAAGTTTATTTGCTTTTCTCGAATAATAGTATTAGCTAAAATAGGGTTGGGGATAATCAAATCAAAAACTGGAAGTAATCTGTGAAATTACTAACTGGTGACCTAGGTCACATAGGATGATGCAGATATATGGATAAAGACCTACGGAGTATTCACAGTGGTACAAATGAAATTACTCCTTGAGATATTTGAAGTTGTAGATATATTAGATAGTTGGAGGCAATCGGCAGGAAGCCTTGCTCGACCTAGGTTTCGTGCTAGTTGGCACTCATCAGCAAGGCGTATCTGCAACCTTGAAGGAACTCATGTCCCTTCTGAGATTCGAACCCGCGTCACCCAGTGCTGCAGTCAGAGGCGTTACCACTGAGCTATTCTGGCTCATGGTTGCAGATACACCTTGCTGACTGGTGAGTGCCAACTAGCACGAAACCTAGGTCCAAGGCTTCCTGTCGATTGCGTCCAACTATCTAATATCATCAAATCAATGTGCACCGTGATGGCGAGCTACCTAGAATGGTGGCCACATTGCAGAACCTGACTGATAGAATTCAGTCTGCACCAAAGAAAGAAATAGACACGTCACACTAGTTACTAGTGTCCAATCAAAATAGTTTTAGATATTTTAGATAATCCTGTCTAGTTTATTCTTTTGTTCATTTCAGTATCATTACATTTATATTCCCTTCTTTTTATCTAAGTTCTAGGAGTGTAGCAACTTGAACTCATGCACATACCTGCAAAGACTGTCACTGATTTACCTATCTGTATGGTATTTTTCGCCATTTTTAAGGTCTATTCGGATATGAGCCACTGAGCTGTATCAAGCTGAATAAACGTACTATTGTAAGAAACTCTGTGTCACACTGAATTTCGCTCTTTGAGTATAACGTTTCAACATACCATTTGAAAACTACATACGAAATTTTGAAGCAAAAACTAGAATGAAGAGATGAAAAACTTTATGATATTTTGCTGTAGTCCTTACTGGAAGATAAATAGTGGGTAATTAGTTGGTTTAACTGGTAAATGTTTATTTTGACAGTAGTATGACCCACTAATCAAAATCTTTCAGTCTGTTACGTAATATTAGAAACAGGAAAATTTCATTGTGTAAATTACTTGCGAGAGCAGAAGCAGCTCTAGCTTCACGACCAAAAAAGGCTTCCAAAGCGCGAACACCATTTCCTGTTGTCCCATTTGCACGCTCAGCTCCATTAGATGAAAATGCAGCGGCTACTTCTGCGTCTTCGAATTGTACGCCTTGTGGCTCAAGAGTTCCAGTACCCCTTTCACTCACGAGAATATTCAATAACCTGTCTGTAGTTAACTCAGCCAAATCTTGATCAAACTGATTGTGTAGTTTACCCAAGACATCACCTGTAACAGACCATACTGACGCATAACGGTGCAGAAATTCTCTCATCTGTTCTAGGTGGGCAGCTTCAATTTCCTATCGCAATGTAAAACAGAAATAGGATAGAACAAGATTCAGTAGTGAACTATTACAACACATTAAAACATATTTACAATACGCATAAGCAAGTGAATCAAAATCTTTAGTTGGATGTATAATCTTGTTTAAAGGTAAGTTGTGTGCTATATTCATCAATAAATGAATGTTAACATGATTTCTGAATGTCCCGGCTTTAATTCTGTATTAAATCATTAATTTAGGGTCATAGCAGTGTTTAAGTTAAGATGACACACGTATCTAATAACTATTATTTTTGATTGCAAAGCTGATATCAATGAAATGTAACAACGAACCATATCTTGCTTAGAATAGATTCTAGAGTACATGAGGGAATGAAATGACAAAGATATGTAAAACAAAAAAATAAAACCTATTTTGGAAGCCCTTACTTTTAAACGTCATGAGTCAAGCTCAACTAAACGAAAAACACTGGACAAAAACAAACATATGATGCAAATTTTAGAGGTAATAATCACTCTTAAGATATTACTATATAAACCCAAGACTGATCATCAGCGGACATATCAGTTAGGGAACGATTAAAATCTAGGAAGTACTGGACAGCTGCTTCGTCCTTGTGTGGGACTCCTCATCAGTACGTAACTCTGACCCTGCCAGGGATCTAACCAAGGACCTTCAGATTATGAGGTGAGCTTGTTAGTCATTCAGCTACTGGGAGGGAATCCAAAGGTCCATTAGTTCTAACTTCTGGCAATTAGCGACATATAGCGTAACCGCTAGCCAATCTGATTGGCAAGTATTTCTCCTCCCACCCAATTTGATAAGCCCTGCTGGTCAGTACTTCCCACCGGAACTTCAGTCGAATTCAAAATACTTTTCCAGGGTTGGTTTGCAGGGATTTGATCGATTTTAAGGTCGGTCACGAACTGATTTCTTTTTATAGACGTATGGAAACAAACTGGGTATAAAAAGCATAAAACATAGTACGATCTTCCTGTTTATTTTGTGATTACTATATTTTAGTCACTATTTGTAATCTTGTTAATTTGACCCTCGACTGAAAATAGTTCTGGAAATTTCTCACCCATTTATTATATATACGCGAATGCCCAGCATAGTTGATGGCTTCGTAGAGAAAAACATTAATAATCGATATAGACCCCACCCCCGGTGTCCTGTAGCACCATCTTGAACCTGACAAGGATGAAATGTATACTAAATATATTCGGAACTTCGCTCAGGAAACTGAAGAATTTGTGTATCTTTTTTCAAGTATTGGTTTTTGGGGGATTTTGTTTGATTGGTTGGAGGATTTCATCATGAGCTGACATCAGAGGACCATTGGAAAACCAACTGGGAATACTGGACAGTTATTTCGTCCTAGTTCGGGACTCTTCACAGTACGCACCCACCGGCTCCAGTGGCTTAATGGCTTACGAACTCACCTTGTAACCAGAAGGTCCTGGGTTCGATGACTGGCGGTGGGTGCGTACTGTTGAAGAGTTCCAAACTAGGCTGGCTACACAGCTGTCCAGTACTCTCTGCAGGTTTGCCAATGATTCTCTAACCGATGTCAGCTTATGATGAAATCCTCCAACCGATCCATGTATCTCACTAATGTGAATGCACAACCAGTTACCTGTTAACTTCCCAGAGTTAACATATGGTAGGTTAAGTGAAACAGTCTACATAAATATCAAGAATAATGTTAAATTACAAATGTCTTTCATGATGAATGAATGAGTGGCTCGTAAAGTGATGCGATTATAGAAATCAATGTAATAACTAATATCCATATTTATGTATGTTTCTCTGACTCGACAACTATATTTAATCATTCCTACAAAAGAAAAACTACAAATTCCCGAAATCTCCAAGTTTTTCCTAACAAATCTAACAATGATATCAACAAACACTCAATTAGTTGACTATTACCGGATAGTTAACATAAAATCATACATACTGACCAGAATTCACCAGGGAGTGGTTGTGTGTTTGAAAGTAACTCTGAGTTACGCTGAAAAGTCGAACGCATATCAGCTATTTTAAAACCGTTTGATCAGCACGCAGGTACATTATATTATTTACAGAAATAGGTAAATCTCACAGGCTGTGTTGAAAGTTTAAATTACCTCAAACTGAGCACACGATATGTGCATTTTGCTCACAAATTGGTTACGCAGATTATTATACTTTTCCACTGAATACTTGTATTCATCTTGAGCTTTCTTCAGCTTCACCTCCAGTTTTTCTTGCTCTCGACTAGAACCAGATTCCAAGCGCATAGCACGTTCATATTCACTGTAACGTGAATGATATGCTTCCTTAGCTTTCTGAAGCTGCATTGAAGTCACCTATACCACAAAACGATAAAAGAGAAAACGTTCTCATTAGGAAATAGAATGACCAGAACTGTAACAAAAAATAGTAGTAATATTTCACGTTCAACAGCAATAGGTAATCCATACGTGTATAGCAGATTACTCAAGATACTAATCCATGAAGTCAGTTGATGCTGATCTTAACCATTCGGCAATGCAGACTAATTAGCTGGTGTACCTGAAGCACTAACAACTAATGGTTTGGGATATGGGTGGCATGGAACAAATACCATCAAAAATTTTACTCAAACAAATTTGAAAACGAACAGTTCGCCCAAAAAAACGTCTTGAAATCAGAATACACACATGATCTTATTTGTTGAGGGTGATTAGTTGACTAAGTACTGCACACACAAATGTAAACTTGTTTTTAGTGAACACTAAAAAAAGCAGTTTCAAAATAAAAATGTCAGAGGTCAAAAACAACAGCCAGATCTATTCAACAACTACGAAATACATGTTTTACGAACAACTGGATAAAGAGTAGAGATCAACAACAGTGCATCAGGTTATTCGCTTATTAATCTAAGTCTTTGAACTTTATTTGAGTAGGAGATAGCAAAAGAACGAAACAAAAACAGCAATAATGAAAAATACAAACAACAATGAGAAACAAGTTAAAGTGGTGGGAAAAAAAGGGTAATATATTACGATGTGTAATATGTAGACTACGCTATTGGTCTATATTTGCATTCACTTAGAAATATGTGACATGAATTCCCTAACCAATGATTTCCATTAGTTATTTGGTTGTAACTACAAATATTTCAGTCTCGTTACCCTCCGACCAGAACGACGTTCCGTGATACTCACCCGACCAATTTCAGGGTTATAGACAATGTTACTTTTCAGAATATCATCCACCAAAGTGAGGACAGGCGTTTTTGCATCAGAGGATCACTGTCTGTGCAGGGATCTTTAAGGGGTTAGCTGTCCTCCACCTATCCCTCGCAAAGATTAACGACAGGGATATGGTTAATCTACGTTTACTGCTGTGCCATAGTACGCAGATATCCCATCAAGAAACCTTCCCTTTTATGCCAGAGAGGTTTCCCCAAGAAAAAGTCATTTCTGAATGCAACTGGAATTCACCAATGCTGAATTTGAGTCGGTTATAAACTTTCTACCAAGCACAAGCTGCTTATTTATGCAGTGAAATCATTCGCCACAAATATCACACGTTATGGCTTTATTGATTGTGAAAAATATAGCTTAAAGCAGAATTCATCCTCACAATCAGGATTACATGAGGCATCAACACAAGAAAAGACTGACAATTCCTCTTAGCTCCTACAGTAGCTTTCAAAAGAACAAATCATAAGCTACCAGTAACTGCCACTTGGTCAGAAATATGCAAGTCCACAGTACTAAAATTTGAAACTCAACACACTGAAAGCATACAAACGCAATGGTGAAGCTACAGTTTTATCCCAAGATTAGGAGAAAAATGTGAGTATATCGTATGGACGATTACAAAGCATCCACACCTTTCATATTATCAAATATTCTAGATTAGGTGGTTAATATATAACTGAAAAATACATAACAAAATCAAAGCCTTATACCAAACGCTTTGAAAGACAACCAGCTCCAAAACAAAGCATGTTAAAACAAAACACCTAAATTATGCGGTTTAGATATTCATGAACCTAAATTAATGGCATGAAATAATAGGTTGGTCGTCAAACTCCAATTAAGACATGTTTCTCGAACATGCATACAATCGTGTGGTTTTTATGTCGTCTTGCGAATAAAATTATCACTATTACTTCTTGTGAAAATAAAAATAAATAAATAAAATAAATACATGGTATTTGTTTTAAGATATAAAACTTATGATTGAATTACTAATTGAACAATATCACACGTAGATCAGCAATCAAACAAAATCTACCAGTTAAACCAGCAAAGCTTCCTCCCTTCAAGGTTCTTCATACATGTATTGTGCCTAACTACGCGCAACCCACCTCAATAAGTAAGAAAACAATGGAATAGTGAACAGAGAATAAGCCCATCCATTGCAGGTCCGTATCATTGGGAAACTTGTATCTACCATGCAAATAGCACAAAAAGGAAATCAAATGACATAAAAGCCTGTAAAAACAAAGCACTTTTCACTGATATTTTGAAGCACATTCACACAATCGAATTGAAGTGAACTTAAAACTTTACTTCGGCTATCTCCTACGGGAGGATGAGCCGGCTTCATGAACATCTCGAATCATCGCTGCCCAGGCGCGGCGATTCGATGCAAGGTTTTGCGACAGGGTTCACACTGGCCACCGGGTGAGCACAGGGTGCGTCGCTTACCGGGAACGCCGTAGCATGGTGAGAGTCGTTTGTAAGAGAGTTCATGAAGTTTCATGGGAATTTGGTACGAGTGATGTCCCCAGAATCGCTCGGCCTTTTGTTTGAGAGTGCAGCTCTAGCCTTTACACAACCAAGTGTGACCTACAAGGCAGTAGGAGTGGAGTAGGGAGTCCACTATCCATTGGCAGCCCGTGACCGGAGTTCGGTTCATACGCCTTTTTGAATGGGGCCAGACATCCAGGACATCCAACAAGCCCTTTGTCCATACGTCTGCCGTTGAGCTCCAGTGAGCTTCATACGCCAGTGGTTGGAGGTTTGGAATCAGGGTTTAGCCATCTCCCCTAGACTGTCATCCAATGGACAGTCAACCCGGTGAAGAGCGCCGGGCATCCGCTTTCGCCCTCTCACTTTGGTGAAAAAACACCTCCGCCACGTGAAGGCAGTGAGTAGGACTTCCTCAGGAGAGGCTATGTAATACGCCCGGTCATATGGGAGCATTTCAAGAGGTGTGCGGAGGGGTGGCCAACCCGCAGCGCAAGGCACCCACTCCCGACCATCCTGAGGCTTTGAAGGGGTAGAATAATATTACTTCCCTGATATGTACATGCAAACATTAACTGGAGCTAGTTAAAACTACTTACCTGAAATGCGTGTACCACTTCTTGAGTAGAAGCTTCTGTATCCTTAATTAGCTTCTGCCGCTTGTGTTGCTCTTCAAGATACTTTTGTACATCCCTTGATAAATTTTGTCGTTCTTGAGCAATGTTCAGATGAACTTGAGAGACTTGGTCGATGAGCTGTTTTAACAAGGACCAACACGGCTTGAAACTGCTAGTGTTGTTGTAAGAACTTGCTTGTTTTGACAATTTAATTAATGCTTTGTAATAGTTGTCTTCCGCAGAATAGCTCTCCCGTAAGAACTCTGCGAACTCTGCTGAAGTGCGGTAGCATAATTTGAAGTTCTGGTACATAGCATCAAATCCAGAGTGCTTCTCTCCCCAAAAGTGTTGAGAAAATAAACACGCGCTCATTTCGGTAAATCCGTATTGTCGATTTAACTGCTGTCTCTAGTGACTCATCCTAGTATATTCCAATGATGTGCTCTAGCGATTCACCGCAATGCAAATGTGACAAATATCCCATAAAACTGAAATGATCTATTATTCCAACGAGTACTCCTTTGCTTTGAAGGAATTACGGGAATTGATGTCCAGTAACACACCTTTTAAACCAAGCGCATGAATCTCAACATCCAATATCAGATACAGATTTTTTGATTAAGGATAGAAGGCTTCAGGTCTGTGTCAGCCCCTTTCTAAGAAATACCTGTGCCTGTCTGATCCCTTCTTGAACGCACATATCATCTCTCTTTGAGCCGGTTTCAAGAGTTTATAACTCTGTTGGAAGACTGGCACTACACAGCGACAGTTCGTTCTTGACTTTTGAACTATAGTGCCGTGTTCTCTGAGATGTTCCGACTAGGTAAATAGGAAAACAGCAAGCAAAGCGGTTATAAAACTATATCTTAGAATTCAGAAAATTAAAATGCGACCCCTACTTACGATATGAAAAGTAGAAGATATTTAAAATACTATCTTACCTAGTACGACAAGTAAGTCATACCAAAATTAAACGTAGGGCCTCCCTTTCGAACCTTTATAGAATGTATTAGTCCTTTCCTAAAGATAATAGGTATATGCAGTTTTCCAGTTTGGAACTCACAAGAGGCAGTGAATATTTCACTGGTGAATCCAGTCAAGGCCCAGCATGTGTGTGCCATCACGCGACACCATACAGTTGTTTTGGGTAATAGCTTAGTATGATACCCTGATCCATACGCATCTGAATCGATTTAAGCATCATTCTTTCTCTCCTACATTGGTTGCGAGGATCGATTCTCTCAAACAATTTTACGGTTTCTTGGGATCTCCTTAAAATATGAGCAAGTCATTATACTCAGTCATACTGTAACAATCGTTTTAGCAGAAAAATACTGAAGATCACAGTAAATGGGCCACTATGTGAGCTGTCAATTATTTTTCTCAGTCCCGTTCCACTGTGTCGTTATCAGTAGTCAGTTTTGGGTCTTCGTTTAGTGTTTTATTCTGAGGCCGATGTACGACAATATTTTCTCATGGTTGTGCCGTTTAGCTTTGAGGCAGATACATTTCAGACCGTGACCGATGAACTCTGGCAATCATTTTATTTCTGGCCACGATGTACAACTTTCTGACCTCCTGAATCTAAGTCACGATAAACATGTTCCACCCTTTTTACCTACGCCTGAATATTCCACAAATCTGCTGATTTATCCGTGAGGGAAGCGTTTTTTACCATCTCGGACAGACCGCTGAATGAAGGGTAAGGTAACTCACTCGCATATGGCCTTGAATTGGCCCCACGCGACTTCTACTTGAGACGTCTGATATGTCCCAGTCATGATGAGACTGAGGAGATGATGGCCCTCATTTCGGCTTTAAACACTTAATAGAACGGGGGTTTTGGCCTTGGATATTTTTTTATTTTGATTTTGATTACGGCTTGATGCCACACTGTATTTTCAGTACAAGTATGGCATTTTCAGCATGGATATCGGTAGCCCAGATTTTGCAGGCCGACCATTGATATCGGGTGTGCGTCGACAGGGGATCGAACCCCGGACCATGTGCATGGTCGGCGAAGTTCCTAACCACTGTGCCACCGACGCACAGATGAGAAATTGAGAGGGAGTACACTGTGAATACTTATTCTCGAGGATGCAAGTCCTAATTATTCAGCAGACTGCAGGTGCTGGTGTAGCAATATGTCAGAGCAATTTGGTGCTTCCTGTTTTCCACCTACATGGGTTTGTAAACGATCAAATTGTAGGTGCCAAAGCCTACTTCAACGTCAGCACCCACTAAACTTGCCTTTCTCGGTTAGCCCTGATCAGCACACCACCTACCGACTGTGCGCTGATGGATGAAGTCTAAGTAGAAGGCTTATGCACTGTTGTGTGCCCTGATATGAATTATATTTATATAACAAGTGAAAAACCAAAACTACGTGGTAATACTGTACAACTTATCTGTTGACAGGCTCGAGTAGCAAGCTCAAGGAGTGTGCTTTATGATAGCACAACGGGAAAGCGAGCACGTACGAGCAGCCAAGCAGGAAAAGCAAAGATGAAGTAGCGCCGAAGTGCATGAATGCGTTCAAACAGAAGTTCAAATATTCAAGGTGCACTGCAAAACTATGGACTTATACTGTTCTGAAACCCTTAAAAGTGAGGGTTTCACTATGTAACGGTGCCGTTCTCTTTACGTTATGTGATGCGGTCTGCTAAGTATAAGTTCCCTTGGACGTAGAAACCAGATCTTATAGGAGCTTTGTGAACTGCTCAGATTTGCACCTTTCTCCAATTTCTGAAGAGGCCTACTTATGATGGATTAAACCGAGTGTTTATGCCTTCTAGTGCTGTGGAGTGAACCTTGTCTAAAATTTGCTTGGCTGAATTGAATCCCTCCTCGAGCCTAGCTTTTCGGTCAGACACTATGGTTTCCTCCGTTTTGTGAAAATAGGTGACCTGTCGGGTCGATCAGCTGTCTCAACTGGAAGTTCTGCTTCATGTAGAAGGTTTTCTTCCAAACCTCAGGGACGATTCACCTTCTGTATTGGTCATGTCAATCTTTTTGCGAGACTAAGTCACAACACCCAGTGGCGTCCTCTTCACCGTCTGGATCTGGTGGCGACTGCCTACTGACAACCTACGGAGTGCTTGAGGTTGGCTTTAAGCATTCATCCGCCGATAAGGAGAATTTAATATGCGTTTTCCTTATTTCTCCTTTTGGTAGCACTGATGCAATTATCAGTTTTCCGCTCTAGAGAGGAACCTTAATAAGTTAACTTAAATATTGGAAGTCAGCACTCAAAGCCAAATGGAGAATACTGTTGACTAATGATTCTGAGGAATTATATGCTCCAGCGGTTCACTACACCCTAGTAGGGTTGTGAAGACCCTACGACGGTAACAGCCAATGCTAAAATCTAAGAGTGGCACCTTTAGTAAAACTCTTACAATGGGAGCGATATTGGAGAGTTGCCCTTTGGTCTTCTGCCTATGCTGGCGTGACGTGTGTATTAGGATGACTCGGAACTTTGCCAGAAAAATTCCCTAATTGGAACAAACATGAGCACCATGAATAAAGAAGAGAGGGGTCATCAAAAAGAAACAAAAATTTCTTAAGGGATGTATTGTTAAGGAAAACACGTGCACTTTATGAAGTGGGAAAATGAGAAAAGTAATCTGCGGGCATTGAAAATATGCTCAATAAGCACAATGGACTTTTATTTCAAAAAATCGGGAGTGTTCGTCCTATCCTGCAAGACAGTTTTACAGGCACTATGAGAACTTCATGGTTCGTCCAAAAAGCGTTTTTCTTCATTTTTAGGAGCTTCTGTTGCCTTTGCAGTGGTTGTTTTTTCTCCGAGTGCTTGCCGATATTTTGTTGTCTGGACTTCCCCCACGATAGCTGGCTCGGGGCTCATTAGACCGCCAACTAAAAATGGCGGTTTTCGGCAGTCAATATTAATATACTCTTCATGGCCATTTATGAATTCAACGTAGAACTTCACAGTGAGTTTATTGACTCTACATGGTCCATGTTCCCACAAAAATGACCGCCATTGTATCACCAAGTACTCTGGAGTACTGTCGAATACGACAGTCAATATATAAGGATGTCTATGAGAACCTGGAAGGAGTAGAACAGGATGAACATGGGCGCAGCCATTAGGGCACCTGGAGTGGGAAAAGTGGTAAGAGAGACTTGGTTATTTCATTTTTTGAACTTTTGGTAACCTAAACACATGAGATCCTAATGCCTTGATTCCTTACTTATACCAGGGAAACAAAACCAACTAGTTGTGGTTTTGACGGTAGTTGAAATCCCCGGGTGCAACAAACCGAGTGACATACTGAAGACTTGAAGTCAATAAATTTTGGTCAAAATAGATAAAACAAAATCCACGACGGCTGTTTTTACCTTAACGGAAACCTTCTAAGTGGACGCAATGGTATTTATATATATATATATTCTTGTTAATCCAACAAAGTAGGTATGTTAGTCTCTGAATTGGAGTGGCGTGAGTGGAAATGAACTGTTGATTATACCATAGCAAGCCACCAAAAGTGAGGAAGTGTTTTACATTCTTTGGCTACAGAAAACTCGAAATCCCCTATACTTTAATGGTTCGAAAGACGTAATAACAGCTGTTGTCGAAATGTTTTCCTTGAAATCGGAATTTAGTTGCACGCACGAACCAAGCCTATTATTTTAGAAATATTCGTGCCAGATAGTATAACTACCAAGTAGTGTATATCTCGCAGTGGATGGAAATCTTGGATAGTTTTGCGTTCAGTAATCGGTAATCAACGGTGGGTTGGTAATGTTTGCTGCCTTCCTTTGGTACCATTTGAAGTGAGGATACTAATTGATGACCGAATAGTGCCAAGACTTGGCATATGGAGGAATTCATTTTCGGTCGATCGTAGCCGAGTGGGAGCTGATTGCAATCCCTTAAAGGTCACAGTTTCTCGTGAGGTTGCCATACGACGAATAGCATCGCTGGTTATGCATGGCAGATCAGTCTAATAGAAATCAAACTTCGGGCACTTGTCGACAGTCAGCTGAATAGTTGAATCAACTATCGTTTTCTTCTCAGCCGTCGGAGAGCGGTGACAAACGTAGATTATTCTTATAATCAACGGTCTAGTGGTTCTGCCTGTCAGCTGCCGCCAGCAAACGACCAGGATTAAGATGTTTTAACTAGGCAGATCGGTGCTCATAACAGGTGTTGTGACGATAGCAAGAAGGCGGATACACTGAATAGTTTCGGATTCAAATAGATATGCTTTCCAGCGGATGTTTCAATGGGTTTTCCATTCTAAGCTTGCAAGTTAAAAACAGGTTCTTTCTAGCAATATACCTGAGTCAACAAGGCAGCCTGTTCTGCTGATTAAAATCTTGAGTATATAGTGGGCAGCTGCCAC